CAATTTCCAAATTCAGGAACTTTGCAAATTTGTAACCTTTGTTTCCAATAACTAGCGTTGCTAACTTGCAACACCTAACATAATAATCACGCTCCCAGTAGCATAAAAATTATGTTCTTACCAGCATAACAATTATGCTCCCACTAGCTTTGACATGTATCCAGAAATCAACTGGACTTATAAAAATCAATACTTATTGACTTTGTTACCAAAGTTTAGATTTTTGATACGTGGTGCTTCGACAAGTCTTTATCTGGACTTCTCAAGCTCATACACCTTTCATTAGACAACTTATGTGTGTGTCTAAACCCTTTCAGAACTTATAACAATAAGTCCCGAATGTTCAAACTATTTCTTGCCATTTCTCATAATTCAAACTATGAAAAGGGATGTCGTAATCATATTCAAATTTGAGAATGTAAGTATCACAACTGCTAACTCTAATGATATTAATTAATACTTTAAAATCTACTAGCGAAAGTGTTTCCTCACAATTATTTTTTATGAAGTAGAGAGAAACCTCTTATCACTAAGATTTTATGGTGTATGTGTTCCTATCCATGTGAGCTTGTCATTTCCAACTGCTATAATAAGACAAGGATTATGAGAAATTCAAACTTATATGGACCGAATTTGCTTAATCTTAATTTCTTGTCATCCGGTAGCACAAGAGCCTACCAGTGCTTCCAAGTTATTGAGCAGCTCACCCATACAAATCAATGAACCTTCACTGATCAAGGTGTTTTGCCTTATACAATCAAATGAGAACTCACAGAACTCATACACATAGTCAACTTAACTGGAATGGGCACGGAAACTAGAATATGTCAACACGATAGGTTATCAAACTTAGGTCATGTGCTAGCGATTACTAAAAGGTTTATTCTCGATTGTCTCCTAAAACTTTTCAATATCAATTAGACTCCCACTGACTTCTTGACATATATGATTCTCTGTCAAAGAACATTCCTTGACAAACAAATATTCAAGAGTTAGTGCGGATTATTATCAAGATAACACTTCATATAATTGGTCTTAGTTGGTCTTTGTTTTAGCCAAAACATCACAACTACCAATTTGAAATGTGCAAGAGTGAGAAAACATGTCTACTCCACATTTCATGAGGTGTTATAAACCTGCTAGAACATGTTACTCAGGGTACAACTTGGAGTAACTAGAGTACAATCCTAAAACTCAATTTTGGAACGAAGTATGACTCATCTTCTTGATTTAACCATTTCAACAATTCCTGATTCCTCTTCTTAGTCATATATATGCACTAAGGTGTCATTAGAGGATCAAATGTGACATGGTTCCATAATCATTAGGATGATCATAAAACATGATACTAAAGTACTCTCCTTTCCTTTCAGATTTGAGAAACTTTTATCTTTCCGCCTAATGGATTTTTCTTATTTGTTCTGCTATACTTTGAAACTTTTCAAGGAATGAGAATTACACTTAATCTTGTAAGCATAACCGTATTTACTGAATCAACAGTAAAACATGACGAATAGACTTTATCGTCCTTTGTGGTGGATTTGACTAGTTCACATCAATGTGAACCAGATCCTTTAACCCTTCACTTGACTCACATATATGTGTGAATAAGGAATTAGTCCTAATTTTCCAAGGATCAAGATTCTCATTCATCACACAATTCAAATCATACGATTCCAAGTTTTTGTCCAATTGAAACTTGGGTGATGAGAATCATTCCTCACTTGGTAAATTATAACACTACCATAAGGTATATAACTAAGAATCAAATCTATTTTCAACATTGCTAATAATAGAAATATAAACACCAATTTTCACAAATGTCATTGCAAATAATCATAAAGCAAATAAAACCAAAATTTACTTTATTGATAATGTGCGGAAAACTTGTCCTTACAATGCGAATTCACATGAAAAGTATGTTTCTAAATATTCCTATCAATCTGTCATAACTCTTAAGCAGCTCAAAATTCTGATCTTCGAACCATGCGACTGAAATCTATTTCTTCATATCAGAATCAACCTTTTACTTCCTCTTAAGCTTCCTTCATTTTCTTCGATCCTACAAAACATCAAAATTTGATTACCACATCATGTAATAAGAATCTATAAATATGAACTTAAAAGAGTTAGATAGTAGATGTACCTAAAGTAGAGTCATACAATTTGACTTTACCATCTCTATGATCTCTCAGGTAGTCTGGGCAGCTTCGCTTCTAATTCCCCTTCAGTTGGCAATAGAGACAAATGGACTCTTTAGGAGTGATACGTGAAACTATCTCAGACTTGGCCTTTCTTTTACGGTCAAACTTTTTGACCTTGGCCGATTTCTCTGTAACACCTCGATTTCCTGGATGTGGAACTTGAGAATTTTATTCACATTAGAGGACCTACTCGACGAGTTGGTTTATCCCAACTTGTCGTGTAGGAGTTTCTCAGGACGTGTGGAATATGAAGTCTACTCGTCGAGTCAAAGGACTGAACTCGACGAGTTGAGTCTGTTTGATGAAACCCTGATTATTCGGGATTGCACCCTATTTAAAGGACTTTAACTCCTTTACCACCCCCCCCCCCTCATCACTTTATCACCCTGAGACAAACCTTAATCAAGTACCTTCCATTTGAGAGTGTTTAGAGCTAATGCTGGGTGTGTTTTGGTGCATTCCTTGAAGAGTAGAAGGCTTAGAACAAGAAGGAGTCTTTGGATCCGACATCATCTTTGTGGTAGCAGACATTTAAAGGTAAAAAGTCATTACCTTGATGACTTGTTTGTTATATCTCTCCATTAGAGAGTTTATGGCCCTTTCTAGCCTCTCCTTGAGTCATTAATGGTTGTGAGCATGCTATGGAGCTGAGACCTCAGATCTGGACACTACTAAGCCCTTTAGGCCTAAAGTCTCAAGCTTTATGAAGCTTTGACCTTCTTGATCTTAGTATTGGATGTTTTAGCCTTGCGAGGCCTTGCATGATTGTAAAGTTAGCAACTTTACGTGGTAACTTCATCCTAGGAGGTTGGATCTGCAGTTTGGAGCGTTAGAATCGACTGGAATGAGTTAAATGTGAAATGGCTAAAGAACACGACTAGTTGGGCATCCAACTCGACGAGCTGAGTCGAGTTTTCCCGTTTTTGGATTCAGAGTGAACTGGACGAGTGGTTAGGGTTTTTCCCCGATCTTCTGGACTCTACATGGACTCGACGAGTGGGCTAGCAACACGGCGAGTTGACTCGGGTTTTCGTGATTTACTGAGCACTGAGGAAATCGACGAGTTCATGAGTTGCACTCGACGAGTAGGGTCAGCTTTGACTGTTGACTTTAGGGTTTTGGTCATGCTGGGATATATTGTTTTACTAGGCGAAGTGAGTCTTCTCACTATACTTATCTGAGTGGTAATTACTATGCAACCGGAGGGTCTTATCTGAGTTCTTGACCAGAGGGTGTTATGTGATTATACTGAATTATGTGATATATTATGCCATCTGTCTTTGTGATTTATGATGCATATTATTTTGTGCCTTATTGGGTTAGGACCAGAGGATCCAAACCGTGCTGTGAGACTGGTGGATCCTCACTGAGATATAGGATTGGAGGGTCCAACCCGAGTTGTGAGACCGGAGGGTCTTCACTGAGATACCGGATTGGAGGGTCCCCGAGCTGTGAGACCAGAGGGCCTTCACTGAGACACATGACCGGAGGGTCCTTATCGAGTATAGCCATGAGAGTCTAATTATTTATGTGTGCGGTAACAGGAAAAACCGGTTAAATCGTTTAGTAAGGGCAATCTAGTTGACACATAAGAAATGATGTCCGACGGAGCAAGCATTTAATGCGCTCCATGTGAAGGATATCCTAGTACCCAAGGTAGATCTTCAAGTCTAAATGGAAAAAATATGTTGTCAATATTCTTTTACCCTACAGACTGGGATGCTTAATGGTGTACCCGGGCTGGTAATTTGATGAAACCCAAAACTGGCCTGGTACTTACATGGCCGAGTGTGGGGAGTTATAGCCTGTCACAAACAAGTCTAAGCTCAAGTAACTATGCACGAATCTCAGAACCACATCCCAGGAAACTTGCAAAAGTGAATATATGGAGCAATAAAATAATAAAAAGGACAAAAGGTGAGACCATTAATAAACTGAGCAATCGGCAAAGGGCCGGACAAAACTATAAACCTGTGGAACCACGAATAGCCTACAAATACATCGGAAATATGATACTCTAATATAAGAAAAAGGGGAAGCAATAACCTTCATGCACAACATCGTAGTATTTTATTCGCAATCTAACTTAGGCATCGAAGAGCAATACTGGGGTCTAACCCTCGGTATGGCTGTCTGACCTAGCACTTGTCATTCTTATGCAGAGTGGACTCCCAAACGCTTATTAGACCAAGATCCTTTGGCAGTAGAGCTAAAAATGCGCCTAGAGTTTGCCATAATAACACCCTGTTTGTCACAAGCCATTCTTGGACAACTTTGGGAGCATGAAGTTCATTTTATAGAACTCCTGGGTTTCAAGTATTGACAGGATCTATATATGAATGTTCTTTTCGACATATTTAGACGTGTTGGGTTTCTACCAAAAAAGATGCACGTGTTTAGGAAAGCATGCGTGTATGGATCTAACAAGATTTTCCCTTTTGTATGCATGGGGAATGGATTTTTTTACTATGGGGCAACATGCTTTAAAAACTGCCTCATGCAAAGTGGCAAAACATGAGAAAGCATACATGGAAAATCAACACACGTTTATATCTTTTTCATTTGATACATTTAGTTTTCTTGCGGCGGGTGTTGTAGAGCTCCTCATTAGGGTTCAACGGCTCACGCATAGTAATGTTATGATCCCAAGATCTATGGATTTTATTTTTAAAAGAATTATTTTTTGCTATCCAAAAAGGTGTATCGACGCAACATGTTGTGTTTTTACCAGCTATGTCTATGTAAAACTTTTTATGACTAAAAATCGAACATGAATAATTTTCTTATAAAATAAAATTACATAGTTACAATCACATTATGTAAATAAAAATGGTCATTAGGCCATATCACAAAAATTATTCCAACTCTTTCATCTTTTCCTCTATATGTACCATGCTCTAGTAAATGTATTATTTTATCCATAGCTCCAAATTCTTGAACCTTAACCAAATATTTTTGGTCTTCCAAGCAAAGTTCCACCAAAACTATAACTGCATTCTCTTTGTTCATCGGGGATCCACTCCTAAAAATTTGAATCAGAATGGGCATAGCCTCTGCTTTACCAATAGCCAACCTCCCTTTAAGGTGCATTGACAATATTGCTAGAATGGCTATGGCCTTATCTTTCAAAAGACCATGTGGTTCCTTAAGAAGCTTCATTAACATGGGGACTACACCCGCCCTCACTGCCCTCTTTTTGTTAGATTCATATATGCATAAGTTAAACAACGCATTGGTTGCCATCCTCTTTGCTCTCTCAGTACCTTCACTCAACAGGAAAACAAGAGGTGAAATCGCTTTAGCAGAGCCGATCATCAATTCCTTTTCGTCAATTACAGAGAGGCTGAAAAGAGTAGCCGCTGAATTCTCACGTGCTACCATGCTACCTTTACTCAACACATGAACAATCCCCGGGATAGCTCCAGAGGACACTATGATGCCTTTGTTGTCTTCATAAATCGAGAGATTAAGAAGAGCAGTCACTGCGTTTTCCTGTGTTCATGAATCGGTTGATTTGAGGAAGTCTATCAGCAAAGGGATTGCCCCAGCTTGGGCAAAGGCAACACGGTTTTCGGGGCTTCTTTTTGTCAGGCGTGAGATTTCACCGGTGGCAATCCAGTGGTCATAAGGTCTCATGGAATTGAGCTCATGAATGACACTTTCTATCATGGAATGATCTGCGAGGTTGGACGCAAAATGCTCGGACATCTACCAAAATACAAAAATATTTATTAAACCACATGCCTGCAAAATGAAAAAGGTGACTCATTTAACACCAATTTTACCATGTTATCTTTCATTGCCACGTTATCACATGTCATTTAATATTTATACCAATAATATACTTCTCTTTCACATTTCATTTTTACACTTTTAAAAGAAATAATAGTTCTTGATTTTAAAGAGTTAACTTCCTAAGTCAAATATATATATTATATATATATATATATATATATATATATATATATATATATATATATATATATATATATATATATATATAAAAGACTAATCAAAAAGCACCATTAATTAAAAATATAAATATAAAAAGTAATTGAATAATAAAAATAACATCAACGATAGTTTTTGATAATTCATTAACTTAGAGATGGCTATTCCTTAAAATTGCAGGTGAATATGATATAATACTAATTTATTTCCTCAAATCATGTACCATACCCGGTTGTGGTTTGTACAAAAAAAATTCTATAAGTACGGTAGCAAATATAGTTTTTTTTTTTTGACCGACAAATATAAATATTATAATCTACTCCTGAACTAATACATAATTCCAAAATTATTTTATTTTGCTACCATACTAACCGGGGTAATCATCATAATTGCCACTAATTTTGTTTTAAATCACAAAAATCCTTAGAGAATCTATTGGTGGTGCCGCAATGAAAACTTTGGGATTGCACAACTTTTTCGGTGTTTCACAAAAATCCTTAGAGAATCTATCTGGCCATAAAATTATTACTAAACCAAGGAATTTACTCTAAATTCACACTTATCATACGTTGTGATGGATTTCCCATAGATTTATGATGGATTTGTGATGGATTTCGATAAAAAATTTCTAAATTAAATGTGACGGGGAAATTTTGAGGGATACCGTACTACATCATGCTACATACTAGACCCATGTACCTTTTTTTTATTAAATATTCAATCTCATTAGAGCAAATAGCTTATTTATTTTTTCATTGACCTCTCTCTCTCAGTGTGTGTGTATATATATATATATATATATATATATACACACACACTGTAGGTTCTAATATGTGGGAACTACGTTTATAAAAGTAAACGAATATTAATAGTTAAAAATCATAATTTCTAATCAGTTAATCTAAAAAAAATTATTATTTTACAGAGTTTTACGATTTTCTTGTAAATCTATAATGCTTGAATAAAATAAATATGTGAACAATTTTGTTAAGATAGACGAGACATTCTTTATGTGTAAATAAATGAAAGATGATGATATTATACAATTTATTTAACTTTCTTTTACATGGTAGTGGCCTAGTTTCTCTGAACTTGATAACTCTATTTAGAAGTTTGATTTTGTAGTTAGTTCGATGATTCATTCATATGGTAAATTGTTTTTCATTTTTTTATATATGTGTCACAACTAAAATTATGCATTTATGCTTTCTTATATTTGCTGAGAGATTCTTTTAAAAGAGGGTACTTGCAATTATGGGTAATAGTTTTTGACTCGTATAATAATTACAATACTTTTTCGATAAAAATATGTTTCGGTGTACATATTGAGCAGCCAATTTGAACATTGAAATATTGTAGACTTTCTTAACGAATTTTATATTAATAAGTTATTTCTTTTGTTTTGATATAAAAATAATTTTTCACGTCATATAATAACTATTTTAATGTCTTTAATTGTAGGTATTGGTTATAAACCGATAAACAAAAGTAAAATGTACATATATAATTTAAGTATTTCATATTAATGGCTTCTTTATAAAAACATATTTTATATTAATGGTTGGTATTTATAAAAATTTTTTATAAAATATGATGTTCTTTTAAGAAAATGAGTACTTAAATAAAGAGAATTTTATAAAACATTTTAGATAGATAGTGATAGATTAGTTAAATAGTTAATTAAATTATTGGAATATATTAACCATTGAAAATATTATTTAATTAGAGATTAAATCTAGTGGAATGATGATGCTATTATTTATTTATTTATTAGTCTTGCGTAATATGAAATATTTTGAGTGTGACAGTTTTTTGGGTCAAAAGTGATTGTTACCGATGAGAGAGATTGTGGGGGTTTGGGTATTCTAAAATTGTGACCGTTTTTTTGGGTCAAAAGTGATTGTTCTTTTTTTCAAAATTACCACCTTTTTTAACTTATATTAATACTTCTATATGCCATATTTCATCTCACTTTACATTGTTCAATTTTTTCTTTAAACAACCTCATTTTTGTGAAAAATGGCTTCTACTTCCAACCCAAAAACTCCAAAAAATACCAAAAGAAACACTCAAAACACAAACTCAATCTCACCTTCTTAACACAATTTCGTCCAAAGCCAAAGTTATAGGCCTATTTATTCACCTCCAAATTTACACTTTGGTGGTGTTATTTCACATATCAATTTCAAAATCATCATCGATTTCAAAACCAACCTCAATTTCAAAACCAATCACCATTGAACTTTTCATCCCAACTCCAATCATAAATGGAAAATGACTTCAACCCATTTGACCATCTTCCCCTCGCCCCAATCATTATCTAAACCCAATTCCAAACTTAAGGAGAACCTGAAGTCGTCCACGAAACGGGTTCGGAGGCGGATGGGATTCGATCACAACTCAAGAAAAAAAATGGAAAGGCAGCTCCAAGGCAAAGGACTACGGCTAAAGAAACCGCATTGACACGTACGTGGGTGGATCTTTCTGAAGATCCGGTGGTCAGAAAGAACCAAGATTCTCCTACTTTTTTCTGGAAAAGTACAAGGCGTTTTCTTGTGTAAATGAATCTTGGAGACTACAGGAAAAATGACGAAATTACTCGAAGTGGAAAAATGTCAACAAGGTTGTGACAGAGTTTAATACGGTGTTTTCAAGTGTCAAATGGCAATGACAATGTTGTGCAAATGACGAAAGAATTTTGCAAAAAGCTCTTGCACTATACCAGAGTAAAAAATGGGCGAATTTCAAATTTCTACGTGTTTGGAATATTGTGCAATTGTCAAAAATTGGCAAGACGTCGAAACTTCTGAAAAGTTTACGAATGGTTCTTTCAAAAAGAACCAAAACATCTAAAACGACGCATAGTCGTCCAATGCGAATGTCAGAATTGACATCAATAAAGACGAGCCATTAAGATTTAAACCATTAATATCATTGACATGAAGAGCTAATTAGTGGATGAAACGCATCCCTTAGCATTAATACCCTTTTAGATGGCATTCGCAAAAATAAAAATGTTGAAAGGGAGGAGAGACGCCACTGCGGCAGGACTTCACCATGTTGCTGTCAGCAGGACCTATTAGTCAAGTAGGCACCCCGCAAGGTGCGGTGGAGGTATAACACATGGCCTTAGTATATTAGCATCAATAAAGTTTAAACAATTCATTAAGCCTATTATTAGTAAATCGCATCATAAAAAGGCAGGTTGTTATTCTACAACATTCAACAGTTTAGCTTGTGTACTATATACGGAAGCAGTGATTTGCCTGTTAAAGGTACATCATTGAAACAAAAATCAATTTACAAAGTTTGGGAGAAACAGGTAATCAACCAAAATTAGTTTAATTGTATGAAGATGTCAGATGATAGAAAATGATTAAGGTAACTTATCATATTCTAGGATCCATGATAGTTTTCATTCATACACATGAAACTAGATTTTTTTTTTTTTTTGGAAGAACAGATCAAACTAGATCTACTTAAAAAGAACGAGATGAAAAGACTTACTTGCATAGTTAATGCTTCCTCTATCCTCATAATGACAGCATCCATCGTGGGGCGATCCTTTAAATTATAGCTTACGCACTGGTATGCTATTTCTTTGTAAGTATCAAAAGAACGACTATCAATTTGATCTCTTATATCTGGATCAATTAGCTTATGTGGTTCATTATCTTTTTATCGTCGGACCAAATTCATCAGAAACTGTCGCTGATCTCCAATGCTCCTTCCATTATAAACCAGCATCCCACTCAGGACTTCAAAGAGTACCACGCCAAACGAGTATACATCTGATTCTTTTTGGAGTATGCGGCTTTCATGGTAGGTGGGATCTAAGTAAAACTGTGTACCCGCAACCTTTGTATAGAGTTTGGTATCTGGCTGATTTCTGGGACCCGATTTCGACAAACCAAAATCGCAAATTTTTGCCACAAAATTGTTATCTAACAATATGTTAGCACTCTTGAGGTCTCTGTGTATTACTCTGTTGTGCTCCCCAAGACTAGAGTGGAGGTAATTGAGTCCTTTTGCTGCCCCTATGCAAATATTCAGGCGTTGCATCCATGTTATGTGACAGATCTTATTTGGGTCGCCGAGATGATGATCGAGGCTTCATACTCATAAACTATAATCATTTCATTGTCTTCGTCACAGTAGCCAATGAAAGAGATGATGTTCTCATGGTCGAATCTGCGAATCATCTCAAGCTCGTTGCGGAACTCATGCTCTCCTTGGTGGCTGTCTTTACCCAGTCGCTTGATAGCAACTGTGCGGTTTCGCCCACGTTTCCAGAGTTTTCCTTTGTAGACTTCACCGAATCCACCGTCACCTATACATCTTTGCCGACTGAAGATTTCGGTGGCAATTTTGATCTCCTCCAGAGCAATTTGATAATTCTCAAGGTTTAACCGTGAAGAAGACATCGTCTTTAATTTGATATTGGTAAAGACGTATGAATATGTTAGTGTGAGGGGCCGAGGGATAGGTTGAGAGCCGGGCTCGAACTGGGATGGTGAGAGCTGGTGGTGGTCAAAGGAAAGGAAGATGGGAGGCGACTGGAGAAGATGCGGCAGGCGTGGTTGTTGCCGGTTTTGTTCAAAAAAGGTTTAACGAGCCTGCGGAGAGGAGAAGCCGATCGGAGATGACGGTGTGAGCAGGTGCTGGGTGAGGGTGGCAACAGATAAACTTATAACTGAGTTTAATATTCAACTATCAAACACGTTATTGGGTATTGTATTATAAAAATAGCTGGAGAAATTGATTTCAATTTCGTTCAGGACTTCTTTACGGATATTTTTCCAAAATTCACATGGGCTTATTCTTATTTCTGCCTAATTTAAAAGAGCTTGTTTCGTAAAATTAGTAGACAACTGTAGTTATTATTTATATATTAAAATATTCCAAAAAAATAATTGATAAACTTTTCAATTTTATAAAATTATATATAAAAATATCCTTATAAAAACAAGAAATGAAACATATAATGATGAAAATATAATTGTCTAAACTATAATTTTCAAACTTTAGAAATTTTGTATAACTATGTTTCATTACAAAAATTAAAAATCGTAAGAGACAAAAATAATTTTTACTTATAATGGGATTTAGTAAAAATGAAATTTATATTTGTATAATTGTCTATTTAAATGTATTATTTGTCAAAAGGAAAATAACTTTATTTTATTTGCTTTGAAACAGCAATAATACCTTGCAACCGACCCTAAATGTCCCATTAAAATGGGATGGTGGGAGTTAGATGTGAACAATTGTGCCTCCAAATGGGAATGAGCGATCGTGTTACTAGGATGACATCACTACAAGAAATGCGGGCATTTGCGGCGACGACTGTCGCCGCAAAAGATAGGGGATGTCGCCGCTAAAGGTATTAGCGGCGACATGTCGCTGCAAAAACGTCGCCGCTAATGTTTCGTTGCTAATGCCCTGTTAGTCGCCGCTAATATGAACTTGTCGCCGCTATTGGCTTGTCACCGCTAATACTTATCTGTTGCCGCTAAAAAGAGTCGCCGCTAATACTTCTGTGTCGCCGCTAAACGCGTCGCCGCAAAAATTCTTTTCATTTTTTTTTCTTTATTTAATGTTAAAATTATAAAAAACAATATAACATTTATAAAATCTGTTACAATTTTATAGAAATATTAACCCATACACAACCAAAAAGCATTATAACATTTATAAAATATTAATGCACAATCCAAAATATTAGTCAATACAACCTAAAGTATTCTTCTAAACAAACATTTCATAAAATCCTAAAATTCCTAGTCGTCGTCATCACTCTCATCATTTCCTTCATTATTTGGGGGTAGCAATGAACGAAACCACTCTTCCAATGCCTCAGAACATGCAGGGTCCTTCAGTATCGTTTGCAACATTTCCAATTACAAAGAAAACAAAATATATTAAACATATCATAATAGTATTATACTTTTCAAAAATTACCAAAATAAAAAAAATACCAACATATCTAACTATAACCAACATAACATTATAGCATTTTACTTTCCAAAATTTAACAAACTACAAAATATCAACATATCAAACCATAACCATCATACCATTATAGCATTCTACTTTCCGAAAATTACCAAACTACAAAATATTAACATATCAAACCATAACCAACATATCATTATATCATTCTACTTTCCAAAAATTACCAAACTACAAAATATCAACATATCAAACTATAACCAACATATCATTATAGCATTCTATTTTCCAAAAATTACCAAACTACAAAATATCAACATACCAAACCATAACCAACATACCATTATAGCATTCTACTTTCCATTATAACATTGTACTATATACTAAACAAACAATTACTAGCATATCATTATAGCATCCTACTTTTTTTCGTTTTTCCATTATAGCATTATACTTTTCAACTTAAACAAACAATTATCTGTGATTGTGGTGGTTCTTATGTCATCGGTTGTTCATGATCGTACATAGACACAATGGTAGGAGGTTTATGCCAAATACCATATATATGTCCGCGTCGAACACCAAATATTTTTTCAAAACATTTTCTTGTATCACTTGGCGTTAGACCGCTTGCTGAAGAAGAAGCTTGGGTTTGTTGATTGATCTCTTGGAGTAAAGCATTTTGTATTTTCAAAAAATGATAACATCATAAAAATTAGATTAATAAATACCCTTGACGATATAAAAACTTATATGAAAATAGAAATTAACCACTTACGTATTGTTGCTCGACTGCAGTACTATAAAATACCCCTTGGCGATTGGAATTAGCCTTACGAAATACTTCGATTCGAGTGATATCCTATTTAATATTAAAAATGAGACTAATTATATTTTAAATAGACATTTAAATATATCATAACCTACTTCTTTGAACCATATATTGTTGTACGAGCTCGACCCCCCTCTGTTTACAACTAGTTGTTTTGCATGGACTTCTTTGTTTGACGTCGAACGCCTTAAAAATTCGGGCGTTTGAAAATGTTCGACTGCCTTCGCCCAATTTTTAGATGGCATACCCTTCCGAGGGGGGGGGGGTTGTTTAGTGCCATTGGGATATCTGTAGGCCCCCGATTTGCTTAAAATAAGAATGGGTTTTACTTTTTCGGTCTCTGTAAACTTTTGCAAGACTCGAATCGATGCTCTGCAACAATTGTGCACGCTCCAAATCCAAGTTAGCCTTATCCAGATCAAACTTATTATACAAATACAAAAAGTTAGTTAATTAAATAACAATCACAACTAAACTTAAAATATTATCCAAGTTACCTTTAGATGCACAACTATCGCATTCCTTAACGCAGGGGAAACATTGTCCCAACCAGATACGTTGAAAGTGACGTTGTTCCACAAATACCTCCTAATTTCATGTGTGACCAATTGCCAGGCTCCCCGACAGGGGAATATGCAATCTCCCTATCGAAATCCAAATCCACAGGCTTTCCCTTGTTTTCCTGTATCCACTTTCCTAGCTCTATATTCTTTGACAAGCCCCTTCTTTTCTTTGGAAGCTCGACTGAAAAAATACAATTAATAATGTTAGCCATGATAACTTATAATAAATTAATAAAAATAGCTAATAAATATATCATAATAAAACTTACCTTCTTGTTCATGCTGCCCGCGACCAAAGCCTCCTGGAGGCGGTGGATCCCCAGCTCCATCACCTCCATGACCAAGGCCCATAATATCGGCCATAATAACAAAGAATATCACCCACGTAAACCTCATTTGTAGCCTGTAAAATTACAAGATGTACAATATAGAAATACAATATGAATAAAAATTAGTTACCCTGCAAAATTATAAGATATGCAATATAGACAAACAACATAAACAAAAGTTAAACAAACAATATGAATAAAAGTTAGACTTAAAATAAAGTTTCTATTACAAAAAAAAGCATATTTGATTTTTTTAATCAGAACCTCCATCATATACTTCAATGTCTTCTTCATCAGTATCATAATGAGAATCGTCATCATCATAATCAGTCTCTTCATCGGAAACATTATCGACTCTACCAGTTTGCGGAGATACTTCAGTATCGCCTCATCATCATAATAAACATTGGTTTGAGCTACATCAACATTATTTTGAAAGTATCGTGACAAGTCGATAAAAAGTCTAGCTCCAGATGAATAGTTGTTTTGAACTACGTCAACATTTTCGGCCTCCACATTGTCGACATTTTGGACAGAGTCATTGTAAGCATTTTGGACACAAGCATTGTCGAATGGTAGATCCCAAATACTTCGATGATTAACATGCTCGACGACACAACGAGGGTTGTTGTTTTGGTTTCTTCGATATTAACAGGCTCGCGGATGTAGAACACTTGTTTGGCTTGTGAAGCATATATGAGTTGATCATCTTGGTATGCTTCGTGTTCTGTGTTGATACTTATGAAATTATCATCATGAATATCTCTTGTATCGAACCACTTGCACCAAAATATTACAGTCGAATAATCATATGGATATTGCACCTCCATAATCTCTTCCAACTGGACATAATATTTCTCTCCATTCTCTCCCACCGCTAGATCCCTAGCGTTTTGAGTTTTCGTTGTGCATCACGACTAATTACCATTAACCTAACACCGTTGACTATGCATGCGGTGTAAGTATAAACATCCATTCGTGAACCCATTGAAAGGGCCGACAACTCTTTGTGGAATTCTGGAGAATTTTCTTTTTCCATCTAAAAAACCTATTAAACATATGTTGATGTGTTATGTATTCTTGATTCGTTATATTGATCAAATATATTTGTTTGTTAATTATTATTACCTTTTCAAGAAACCAGTTGGGAAATTCGGTCTTTTCGTCACTTTCAGGATGTTCATATTTGAATTTTCTATATTGATGACAAAAACATATATATATATATATATATATATATAATATATATATATATATATATATATATATATATATATATATATATATATATATATATGTAATTGATGAATGGAAAAAAGTAACATTAAATAATGAAAGATAAATAAAAATAAGAACACTTACTCGATGTATTGTCTGACTTCTTGACAGCTATTTAATATAAACCATTCTATATTACGTTTTTCCCTTATATCAAGATCTTTGATTTGTGTTGCGCTGGTCGGTCGACACTTGGGCTCAAACATCCAAAACTTTGTTTTTTCAATGACAACGTCCTCGTTTCTTTCAGAGCGATTGGATTGAGTCTTCACATCTGGAAGGTACATCGAACAAAATGACAAAGCTTCTTCGGCAACATAACCTTCAGCTATACAAACTTTCGGCCTCGCCTTATTTCTAATATTGTTTTTTAGTTTTTTCATATACCTTTCGAATGGATACATCCATCTCATACATACCGGGCTCCGGCAATCGCTTCATCAGTTAAATGCAAAACTAAATGAATCATAATTTCAAAAAACGCTGGAGGATAATTCAACTCTAACTTACACAAGATTCTAATAATGTGTTCTTTTGCTTTCGTTATATCCTCCACCTTTAGTGTTCTAGAGCAAATTTGCTTGAAAAACGAACAAGGATCTACAATTGGTGTAGAAGTTTCTTTGTCCAATAACGCTTTAACTCCAGTCAGTATCATAAGTTGCATAAGAATGTGATAGTCATGAGATTTCAACCCAATAATGTTAGTATCATTATCTACC